TGATCAGAGCATTTCGTTTACTGATGGGAAATCCTATCTAGAGCACGATCTGTACCAATTGGAACTGGGTCATTAGCAGACAATGGAAATGGTCAAAATAATTTTTATTGATTAAAACTTGGAATAGAGCTGAGTAAGCAAGGAGGACCTTTAGAATTCACGTGATTTTGGTTGAAACAGGAAAAACCTCGAAGTGGTAGGACAAGGTTCAGTTGTTACCAGCCGGATTTGTCTTTATAAACGCGTAGTTATGCTGAAAAAGAGACAGACGAAAGAGAGAGACTGGAGAGCATGGAGATGGAAGAGGCAGACGGAAGAGAAAGATAGAAGAGAATTAGCCCGGGCAAGAGTTGGGCTGGAGGCAGTGGAGAGTCTAGTTGGAGACTCAAGAAGGAGAGAAAGTGGCGTCAGAGATTGGAAAGAAGCGTCCGCTAACATGTGCTGTTGATATAAGTACCGCTGCTTCTGCTACTACGAATATTACTGCTACTGTTACTAATGCTAAGGAGGAACGCCACTATAAACTTTAAGCCGCGCCCAGAAATCTTATTCCCCCATCGCAAGAAGCGTATATCGTTCTGAGATGATTTAACAACAAGTTAATCATAACTATCTCTCTCTCTCTCTCTCTCTCTCTCTCTCTCTCTCTCTCTCTCTCTCTCTGTCCAGAATCCAGTGTATGCGTTTTTACGTCAATTACTTTTCTCTTCTGTAACCCGTTTTCTTTTCTCTACTATTCTTTTCTGCTATATAAAAGACATTAACAATTCAATCATTGAATAGTTGGTTGTCAGGCTTTCTGCAGATATTTTTTTTTTTTTTTTTTTGCTGCATTCTAAATTTCTTAACGCAGACTCCCCAGTCGTGTCTACATCTCCAGTCGACCGTGAATGGATGAACATTACTTCTGCTTTCTGGATCAAGCCAAATACAACGTGGGCAGGAAGTAAGATTAAACCAGTGGACCGGTCGAATAATCTACAGATGCTCGGGGGACCTACAGCCACTCCCTTAAGACCGAGTAGACACTCCAGAGAGTAAGACGTCGGAGGTTGAGGGGCTGGGCGAAAGCGTTAGACTAATCCACAAGATTCGAAGACCTATAGGCTTCACACGATCAAAGCCATTTTTAAACCACTGAACTTACATAGTGACTGTATACAGGTCACAGCTTAGGTGTTCCTGAAAAGGTTTGTCGTCATGCATGACAGTCGTATGCCAGCCTCGATCTAACGAGACTATTTAAGAACATGGCTCGAGGTTTTCAGGTCAATGTTTTGGTTTCCTAGGGATTTGCTATGTGAAAGTAACTTTGGCAGTGTTTTATTCTGTGTCCAATTTCTTTTTTTTTCCGTTACTAATTGTTGTGAGGGAGAATTTTTCCCTACAGACGGAATTCGGCAGTTGGACGAAACGCATAAAAATACTCCTACATCAAGAGGAATATCAGGAATAGCAGTCGCAGAAGTTTTGCTGAAAATAGTCATAAAATGTCGGTTAAATATTCTTTTCCCTAGTTTCTGTTCTATATTATGTTCCCCTCTACCAAAAAGTAATAAACTTGCTAAACCAATTCCGTTTTTCTATGTTGTTTTTGATAACTTAGTTACAACACTAATGTTTTTTTATAACTGATTCGAAGGCTGAAGTATTTGAAGTGTTTTGAATTTGATAATTCCACATTGTCAGTTTTTATGATTGATTCAGGGCATGTAGCATTCTAATTCCAGATCATAAATTCTGTTTTTGGAAAGATTTTTTTTGAGTCCTATTTCTTGCAGTCCGATATGTTGATTTACATTATAAATATAAGAAATTCGAGCGAATTAGATCGTGTAATTCGAACTGATGGTTTAGTCTGTTCATAATAACTCTGTGTTATACTTTTACCAGTGTATATTTCTGAAATCTCCACAAAATCACAGCACCGGGTAATTAAAAAATGGCATTTTCTAGCTGTTCTTTTATTAGTTTCAGGAAGCCATTTTGCATCTAATTTCCGAAAACCTTTTGCTAGTTTCTCGGATATACATACTCCAATAAATTGAAATCGAATCCGTCTTTTGTGGTGAGTAATGCTTGAGCAACATCGTAAACTGTTCAGCGTAAGAAAATGCTGAGTAAAATAAGCCACTTGAAATGATATTTCTTTAGTTCTTTTCAACATTGCTTACTTAACAGTTGTAGAATATAAAAACGACCTGAGTATATCAATGCAAAGTGAAAACAAATGAAGAAAAAGATTGAAGTCGCAATATCGAATATATTTGACCATCTAACTTTGTATGTTTAAGTTAATTGTTTGATTCGTTTGTTTACGTCTTATCAACACTTTGCGGGCTATTTAAAGCCAGAAAATATTTTTAGTTTCTAAGAATTTTTTTTTTTTAGATAATAATCATTTTGGTAATACAAGTATTACTAATTAATCCATAATTAAGTACGGGTGAGTAAAAAGTTCCCAAGGGTATTTGTGTGTGAAGGAATACAAGGAACCCACGCACATCCAAGCTTACAGCATCTAGGTATTCACTAGGCTGGACGTCGCTTAACTTCAATAATTGTACGGGAACCATTTTTTCTGCGTGATGTGGCCGCAAACATTGTATTTTTGAGGAGCTCTTCGTAAACAAACAAGTTTTAAAAAGAATTCAGCCAACGTTATTTATCAATTTATGAAGCTATATGAAAATATCATTAAATATCGGCCACAAAGTATGTTCCTTCAGAAGTCAGGCTATTTCATAGAATAGACTTGATGACGTTTAACAAAATGGCCGATTTTGAAGTAAGCAGATGGTATCATTTCATAAAGCTGACTTTTGAATGCTAGAAAAAGGATTTTCCTAACAGATGGTAATAGCAATAAGAGCCGTTTCTTTATAAGAAAACATTTAAAATTCATTGACCAATAGCGAGTTTTGCTGTCAGTTGAAATTTATAGAATCTTTCCTTTCAAAATGTTTTTCATGAAAATAGTTTTCTCAAGTCCATTAAATGTTAGCACTCTTTATACTTAGCGAAAATCTTATTATGACATTAGCCAAGAAGCCATACCTAATTTCTTCACCCTTCCCTAAACTGAATGTTAAAAGAAATGTATCGCTAATCATGTAGGGGAGAATATTTAATCTCGTCTGATTTGTAAAAATGCATATTCTCCAACTTATAAATTAAAAGATTGGAATTTAAGCCTCCATCAATTGGAGGCTTATCTACTAATGTTCTATTTGAAATAGTATTGAATATTAGCAATTTTATTACGTGATTAATCTCTCTTCGAATTACATATGATATCCATTTTAGTAGTTGCTGTTGAAAGTCACAAAGGGATGTGGTTTCTGTTCTCCAGTGCAGGTCTTTGTTTGTGTTATAACCAAGTAAATGGTTAAAGAAATAACAAAACAATTCTAGTGAGTGTATGTCGGTTGACCCAGCGTTCAATCAATTCGATTGTTATATTTAACAGCACCCCCGCCTACACAAGGGATGTACGTGGCACAAGGCCGAGTTTACCGTGGGTTCTCCAAGGCTCGCCCAAAAACATTCCCTTTGAACCCGCCTAAACGGGTTCAGGGACTGTCTACCTCCCCTGATGAAACTTTGCCCTTCGACAAAACCCCGTCCGAGTTCCTCTCTGCTCCAGGCAGAGAGTTCGACAGAAACGAACAGTCTGGTGGACTATTAATATTGAACAGCTCCCCCCCCCACGAGAGTGTATGTGGCACAAGGCCAGTTTATTGTGGGTACTCCGAGCCCGTAGGTTCAGCCAAAAATATTCCCTTTGAAGCCGCCTAAACGGGTTCAGGTACTGTCTATCTCTCCGGACGAAACTTTGCCCTTCGGCGAAGCCTCGTCCGAGTTCCTGTATGCCGAGACAGAGAGTTCGACAGAAATGAACAGTCTAGTCGACTGTTCCTCTAAGACCTTCTCTCCTACTAATCTTACAGTAGGCGGAAGAGTTCAACATAGAGGGAGGGCACCACAACAGTTTGTGATTCTGTAGTGCCAGTGCACAAGATTAAAAAAGGATGTTTTTCACCATGAACCGTAGACTTTACTCGATCAAAGCCATTCCTAAACAAGTGATCGTTTTTTACACAAATGATAGCTTACATGTTTCTGAAGGGGTTTGGCGCTATGCTTGAGATCCAGATAAGAGTCTCGATCTGATGAGGCTATTTAAAGTAAATGTTTCGGATTTGTAGCAATCTGCGGTATTGTGTGAAACTACCGCTATCGCTGCCTACGCTATTTTCAACTCCTTTTTCTCTTGTATTAATATTTGTCATAACTGATACACACACTGATGTATTTGAAGTGTTTATGTTCTATAAGATACAGATTTTAGCATTCCACTAATTGGGCTATTTTATAATATGGAAATCGTTTATTTTCAAAAATCAGACTACATTATTAGATATAAATCACGGCTTTTAACAAATAGGAACATTTTATAAGCTGGAGATTATGCATTTTAACAAGTCAGACAAGATTAAATATTCTTCCCTACATGGTTGCTGATACATTCTTTTTAACATTCAATTTGGAGAATAGTAAATCCATTAGGTATGAGTCCTTGGCTAATGTCATAATAAGGTCTCTCTTGAGTTGTTTTATTTTTCACAACCGTCTGTTCCTTCGGGAATAAGTGTCTCAGATTCCATCTTCTGGTGTTTTTGATTTGCTACATCTTATAGAATGTGGAAAGTTAATAGACGAGCGTAATCATTTTACAGTTGAATGTTCTCGAAATTCGGAAGACGTTATGTAAGGAACTGATTTAGCTAGTCAGCACTTATATTTATTTATTTCATACGCTGATAAAATAGTGAAATTGGTTGAAGGAAGAAAAAAAGATGTAGAAAGCAATAAGAAAAGGAGAGAAATACAAAGAACTGAATAGGTAGGAAAATGTGAGAGGTAACACAGTGATAAGAAATGATTGAATGAAAGAAAGAAAGATATTTGACGACAAGACACACATAAAATACAAACTATCAACAAAAACAGTTTATATGAATTTTGTAAAGGAAAAAAGAAAGAAAGAAAAAGAAAGAAAGAACGAAAGAAAGAAAACGTAAATAAAAAGAAATATTAATAACAATGCGAGAGTTACTGGTAATTTGGAGAGAAAGAATGAAAGAAAGAAAAAATGAAAGAAAAATGAAAAAACGAAAAATTGAAAAGAAAGAAAGACTTAGACAAAAAAGAAATATGAATAATAACAATGCGAGTGTTATTTATAAATTGGAAAGAACGAATGAAAGAAAGAAAAAATGAAAGGAAAAAAAAAAAAGAATGAAAGAAAGAAAAATTTTACACGAAGAAAAAGTTCAATAAGAACAATGAAACCATCAATGTTAACTTTGAAAGAGAGAAACGAAGAAAGAAATAACAGAAAGAAAGAAACGAAGAAAGAAATAACTGAAAGAAAGAAACGAAGAAGGAAATAACAGAAAGAAAGAAACGAAGAAAGAAATAACTGAAAGAAAGAAACGAAGAAAGAAATAACAGAAAGAAAGAAACGAAGAAAGAAATAACAGAAAGAAAGAAACGAAGAAAGAAATAACAGAAAGAAAGAAACGAAGAAAGAAATAACAGAAAGAAAGAAACAAAGAAAGAAATAACTGAAAGAAAGAAACGAAGAAAGAAATAACACAAAGAAAGAAACGAAGAAAGAAATAACAGAAAGAAAGAAACGAAGAAAGAAATAAGAAACAAGAAAGAAAGAAACGAAGAAAGAAATAACTGAAAGAGAGAAACGAAGAAAGAAATAACACAAAGAAAGAAACGAAGAAAGAAATAACAGAAAGAAAGAAACGAAGAAAGAAATAACTGAAAGAAAGAAACGAAGAAACAAATAGCAGAAAGAAAGAAACGAAGAAAGAAATAACAGAAAGAGAGAAACGAAGAAAGAAATAACAGAAAGAAAGAAACGAAGAAAGAAATAACTGACAGAGAGAAACGAAGAAAGAAATAACAGAAAGAAAGAAACGAAGAAAGAAATAACTGAAAGAAAGAAACGAAGAAAGAAATAACAGAAAGAAAGAAACGAAGAAAGAAATAAGTGAAAGAAAGAAACGAAGAAAGAAATAACAGAAAGAGAGAAACGAGGAAAGAAATAACTGAAAGAGAGAAATGAAGAAATAACAGAATAAAAGAAACGAAGAAAGAAATAACAGAAAGAAAGAAACGAAGAAAGAAATAACTGAAAGAGAGAAACGAAGAAAGAAATAACAGAGTGAAAGAAACGAAGAAAGAAATAACAACATACAGACAGAAAGAAACAAGGAAAGAAATAACAACATAAAGAAAGAAACTTAGAAAGATTTTATATGATAAAAGGTCTATAAAATAGATGGCTTTTAAAAGCAATGTACAGGGTGATCCGAAAAGTCTTGTCTCCCCCACCAAAAATAATGAGAACAATAAACGAACAAGTAATTCAATCAAACGACGCACATTGACTAGATTCAGTTTCTTCACTTTCATTGACACTGTCGCACACCGAGAAGGACACTGAAGGAGCTCGTGTATGCCATGTGAAACAGAAAATTATATCATATATGGATGACAAGACTTTCGGAGCATTCTGTACGTGGATATAAGTGTGCATTTTGGAAAGAAAGAAAGAAAGAAGGAATGTTTACCTTTTATCATCTTTCTCCGTTTCTTTCATTCTTTCTTTCAAATTAACATTGATTCTGTCATTGTAAAATCTTCCTTCTACTCTTTTATTCTTTCCAAATTACCATTAACTCTACCATAGCTATTATTGGTATTTCTTTTCATTTAAGTCTATCCCTCTTTTTTTCTTTCATTTTTTCTTTCTTTTATTTTTTCTTTCTTTCATTCGTTTTCTTTCACTCTCTCTCTTTCCAAATTATCATTTACTATCGAATTGTTCTTATTGATATTTCTTATTATTTAAGTCTTTCTTTCTTTCTTTCTTTCTTTCTTTCTTTCAAAATAACGATTAATTCTCATGTCGTTATTATTTATATTTATTTTTATTTAATTCTTTCTTTTTTTCATTTTTCTTTCTTTCACTTTTTCTTTCATTCTTACTTTTCTTTCACTCATTCTTTCTTTTATTCTTTCTTAACAAAGTACCATTAACTCTCGCATTGTTAATATTCATATTTCTTTTCATTTAATTATTTCTTTCCAAAATTCACATTGACTGGCTAATTAGTCAGTCATTAGTCATTGCCGAGGAAGAATTGGTAGAGTCGTGCCTAATTCAAATTTTATAAACAAATAAAAAATTATGATAGCGAAAGAAAGAAAAAAAGCGAGATTTTAAAAAGAATAAAGATCACTTAAAATGTAGAGTCAATGTTACTTTCGAGAAAAAAAGAAAGAATGAATGAAAAAAAGAAAGAAAAAAGAATCAATGAAAGAAAGAGAGAAAGAAAAAACAAACAATGCAAGAAGAGAAAAGAAAGATTATAATTTCAAGGTGATCAATAAAAGCATTATTGATTTTAGAAAGAAAGAAATAAAGCAAGGATATGAAGGAAAGGAAAGAACGAAAGGAAAAAAGAAAGAAAGAAAAGATGGAAATAAAAGAAAGAAAAATAAAGAAAAAAGGAAAGAAAAGAAAGGAAGAAAGTAAAGAAAGAAACAAACAAAAAAATGAAAAAAAGAAAGAAACGAAGACAGAAATAAATAAAGAAAAGGTAGAAAGAAAAATTGGAGAAAGAAAACACAAATGAATATTTGATAGAGAAAAGGTTTAAGAAAAGACAAAAATATATCAGATAATATCGACACTGATCAATATCACAGATGTCTTGATTCCGTTGCCAGAAATCTCCAGACACTGAGCGATTAATAATCATCCAATATATTTTGACACTCTGTGTTGTTTGCTAGCCGTCAAAGTCATGCCGTTATATGATGGCTGTGGAAAACCGTTAGGAGGCGGTGCTGAAAATTTATCGACGCGAACCACGACTCTAAATCAGGATTCCGATGTTGACTCATTGAAATGCTTGCTTTGAAAAGTTTGACGGGGCGTTTTATATAACTAGTGCTTTCAGAACGTACGTGGTCTGAGCCTTGAGAAAAACTCCTTACCACGTAACTGGACACAAACACAGGAATTTCTACCTGTCCACATCTGTACTAAATAATTATTAACCACATGAAAGGATTAACCTGCGCCTGGTCGGGGAACCGAAAGCCTAACAATATGGCAAATACTACTACGTTAAATAGTACGAGTAACATACATAGTCTGGCATGGCATCTCCCCCTCCTCGCTCTCGCTCTCTCTCTCTCTCTCTCTATATATATATATATATATATATATATATATATATATATATATACACATTTTAGAGTATATTTCATCACAAGAAATATACTCTTAAAGTGTGCTATATTTATGGGATAAAGTGCTCAATATCAGATATAGAGCGTATGTAAATATAAAAGTAAACATTGAAGTCATCACTCAGAGACAGGCTGTTTCATGCTAGACGCAATCGTCATTATGTCTAGCATGAAACAGCCTGTCGCTTCTGGAGTGTTGACTTCAATGTTCATATATATATATATATATATATATATATATATATATATATATATATATATATATATATATATGCAGAACAAGCAGAACGAACATAGAGCCATGATACAATTGGGTATAGGCCGACCATTAAAATTGCTTAAAATACTTCGCCCATATGTTGGCGCATGTGCACTCCGCATTTAATCGACCATGTGTCACGTCTTTCAGTCATCCAAGACTGAAAGACGTGACACATCGTAGGCAAATAGCGACATATTCGACAACCAGATGCTCTGTTAGGAAGACCATTCATTTAGTCCATCACCTATGACATACACATTGCCTCTGTGCCATAACTATCCTGTCGAGAAAATGTCAACCCTAGCCACCTAAAAAATTAGAAACGTTTCAGGCCGAGGATTAGAAGCAAAAGCATTTACCTTAAGTTGCAAAATAAGATTCATTTCCGGGTCGTACTGTGACCGTCTAATAACTTGTATAAAGCGAATGTAAAAAATCAGGGACGAAAAATACATTTCTACCCCCTTAGAACTACTTCTGGGATCACGTGGTAACAAGTGACCCCTGCAACTATAAAAAGTTAGTAAAAAGTAACAACTTTTAATTAGTAAGAATCGAACAACTCCAGGTCATTGTTACCGTGTTTAAACGCGTGATTACAGAACGAATACATGGAAATCATTTTATTAATCCTGCAGTATATTTTCATCCAGTTAACTGTTATCTCTGCCATGATTAGACTGTTGAGGGGGTCTGGCACTAACATTAGTTGTGTAGATAGTTTTTTTTACATCATTAATATTGAAGATTTATATTTGTAGATTTTATCTACCCAGCCCTCCACAAAAACTGCACATATGGGGATTAGGCAAGAATTCTTAGAGTGAATATGACATTGTGGTGTATGTGTATGGAATGGTTGCGTGGATGAGATGTTTTTGGTGAAAGGAACAATGTACGGATGATTGGGTCAGTAAGTGAGGTTAGCTAAGTGAGAGATAAGACAGGTGAAGACCATCCTCCACACCATCCCAATTTTGCCCACGTGGCGTATTTGTACCTTTTGGACAATAAGGTAAATACATTGCTTCTCCCGCCTGAACAATCAAATTCTCCACAATCCTTCTCGCTTAACCATTTTCTCAAAGAGTGACGTCCTTCTGCTGCTGCTGCTGCTGCTGCTAAATTTCTTATCATAAACGGGGTTCAGCCCTGGCGTAATTGGCAGGCTGTGGGAATATCCTCCAATATCAGATTGATCTGCTGGAGGTACTGGTGGAGGACGTCCATCGATCTACCACGAGACCGTCTCCAGTTTGCAGAAGGCGGGTCGCACTGATAGATGATTCTATTAGGTCGATCATCAGGTCGTCGCAGGACGTGACCGAGCCAGCGAAAACAGCGCTAAGCGATGGAACGAGGGTTGATCAGATGGCTTGTCCTGTCGGCGCAGTGCCTTGTTTGACGCCAGATCGGACCAGTGTCCCCCACTCGATGCTCCTGATGGCACGGGAATCGAAGCCACGGGTGCAGGAGGCGGGGGTACTGAGAGGCCACGCCTTTAGTAAATTGTTTCTTTTACTCTTTCTATGTACAATGGTTCTGTTAATATTCTTCGTTCTTATGACGTGTCCATAACATTTCAATTTTCTCTTATTAACGATGGTTATGATGTCTTCCATTTGGACATGGGGGAACTTGTCCCACAATGCCATTTTTTATGCAATCGGAGATTAGGGGTGGTTCTGTGTTCCTAATGCGTCTATTCCTCGTTGGAATTCCGCTGTTAGTGACCAACATTCCAAGGCATACAAAAAGATTAAAAACGTTGGTTTATGCAACATTCTAACATTAAATAAGAAAACATTTAAAGAATAAGAGCTGAACAGTTATATGTACAATATGAAATAAGTTTTAAGTAAAACCGGACCCCGTGTAGATTATAGTTTGGGAACAGATCTGAAGGTTGAAAACCTGACCTGAAGGAGCATGCTCCTCTTCTTCCTGTGCGTTTTGTGTTACAGAATGCAGATACGAAGTCTAAAATGGCAAACGATTTGCCGTGATGTCTCGTGGGCGTAGTAGTCTGACAGTGATGATCTGTATTTGTTTGAGTTTAGGTTATAATTCCATATGGCCTGAATTCAGCGAAGAGCTGCCAAAAATTTTGAAGAGTCGATACGCTTCCCACATCAAAGTTAGAACTCGGCTAAGACCACCCCCGGAGGGTCGCCGTGCCAACGTGCGACCTGTGTTCTCGTGACGTCATTCCTCTCGCCGCCTCTTAGAAGCCAAGCTGGCACCATTCGCGTAAGCAAAAGAAATCGTACTTTTTCGTTAATCCCTATTTATGTCGTGACATCAGAGTGTCACGACATAAAATGGTATATTTGCTAAGGACAGAACTATTTAAATTGAAATATTCGCACAGGATAACCGAAAATAAAACTATGATATATTATGAGTGGCTCTAGAACGCATTATTTTTTGCTTACCATATCGGTAAATATTTTGCTCGCAGAGAAAATACATGAGCATTATCTTTCCATAGAAACATTTTTGCAGGTCCGTTTTCTGTGTCTCAATTTCAGATTCTAACTCTGTTATACAAGTAGACTATATAATGAAGACACGCGGATCTACTGGATTAGACGATTCTGGACAGGCTCCGAGACGAGTTACATCCTCCAGCTGATGAGCTGTCTATATGCAAGAACCAGCGTGACAGAAAGATAAGAAAAATTAAAGAATGAAGATAAAAGAAATGATAACCATGCAGAAATTAATCATTATTATGTTGCGTCCGGGTTTGATCAATGTCCGGATTTCCCGACGAAGGATTCCGCTTCAAAGACAATGATTATAATCGGATTAGGCTTGCGAGAGACGATAGCTATAGTCTAATCCAGGCAATAATTATTGCCGTTCCATATAAACGCCGATAATCTCC